CAGCTTTGTTATTCAATGGAGAGTTTGCTTACTTGCCCACAGGACTCACTGCAGAAGAGGAATGCCAGTGCTGGGGATGAGAGCGAGCCGATTTCAGCATGAGCGCTGCCAGTCTGGTTTTTGTTGGTGGCAGGGTTTGGATGATAGGTTTGTTGGGGTTTTTTTTTCAATTGTTGTCTTCAGCTCTGTATCTTCTGTGTTTAACCACAACACGATGTTACAGTGGTTATAGAATCCTTCTGTATTCCTTTTGCAATGGAATCAAAGTACTAACACTGGCAGGACAGATGACATATTTAAATGAGGAAAACATTAAGGGATGCTTTTCCTTTAATGAATTACTGTCTTGACTGACACAGTCAGACCTGTGAAATGTGGAGACTGGAACGTTGTGTCTCCATGGAAAATGCTAAAAGAGCAAAAGTGGGAGTCACGCAAAAATAAAACCGCTTTTAGTTTGGGGTCGGTTGGTTTGTTTGTTTTGCTACTGAATCTTTATGTACCACGTGCTACACGTTGAAGAGTTTTCCGCAACATCTCTGTAAAGGAAATGAACTTAAATGCTCAATGAATATTTTATCAGTCTTTCATGTATGCCAAGTTTAATTTCATCAGTTTTCCTAGATATGTTATGAGACCTTGAAGAGCCTGCTGAATATCTGAAACAAAAGCATCCAAGTGAACAGATTTACACCAAACTTTATCATGGTACTGGCGTTGAAGTAGAAAAACAGCTGCTCTCTATAGACAAAAAAAATAATAAAATGGCTTGATCTTACCATCTATAGTAACTGGCCAAGAACATCTTCTCAAACATTCTCCAGAATTTTAAATGCAGTTAAGAAATCCTTCACCCCCTTCAGTTTTCTGTATAGAAGTAAGACTAATGTGAGATGCGAACAGAAACCTGAGGAGGAACTAAGGCACTGAAAATAACATGGATAGCCTGAAGGGCAGCATTAAGTAAGTCTCCGTGTATTTCATTGCCTATGCAGAGATGCCAAGAGCAAAGTTAAATTAGTGGCGATTGCTGCCTGTCCCGACATACACCACCTACCTCCTCCCGCCACTACAGTAACTGCGGCAAAGCCTCTAATGTAAACAGCCTTAGTGGTAGATAGGTTGGTCTGCTTTTCAGCAGGGAGGCACACCACAGCTCTTATGTATTTGTTTTAGGTCTCTGTTTCTGCAGGCCTGTCTATCTTGGGGCATCTTTTGTAGAGCTTAAGTAACATGGGAGAGGTTCAGTTCCTCTGGCGTGGCAAGGGGGCAGTGGAATTCAGCCACTCCAGTTTGGTACAGCTGTACAATTGGGTTTATAGTTCAGTCCTCAGATTTTTAGCATTTAAAATGCCGGAGTTGATATGTGTTTGTTCCCCAGAGCTCACATCAGACTACGAGGCTAACATGCCACTTTGGTTTGTAATTCACAACCTCATCAAAATTAGAGACCCATGAAGTTTACATATTATTCATTCTAGTAGATGTGATTACAGTTCAGAAAAAACACAGTTTTCTTGATCACAGTGGTGTGGTAAAGGAGCTGTGGACTGTTCCACAGCCACAGGCATTTTGTGAAAGGAGCTACAGATGGCCAGAATGAGGTGATAACTAACTGTTCGGTTTCCAGAGGAGAAGAAAGGCAAAAGTAAGTTGTAATGGTCTCCTGAAAGGACTCCGCTTCATTATGCATATTTCACAGTATAAACTAGAGTCGCAATAAAAACTTCATGAGGTTTTGGGACAACTTTCTATCCTGCAACCAATTTCTTCTAGAAGCTTTTTCCCTTCCGTGCAAACAGATTTATTTTCTCCCCACTCCCAGAGCGGCAGGCCCAGCCTGCTGCCCAGCCTGCCATTCTCCTAGCGTGGCTCTAACTCCAGGCGGTTTTAAAAAAGTGGAAGAATTACAGACACTGAGAAACTTCAGGAAGAAAACTGCTCCTTAAGCCCCATACACCTTCTGCCGTAGAACTTCTTTTGCCCCCTCTGGTGCACAGCAGCTTCATGATGGTGTTACTGCACAGCCAGTGCTAGAGAAGTGAGTGTATATGATGCCACCAGTATTGACCACTGGGGGAAAGAAAAGATTATTCACAGCTCTTAAGAAGTTGTCAGGCTCATGGCATTGTCAGCTGTTGCAGAAAATGACAGATAATAAAATTTTGCTGGGGGGGGGGGGGGGGGGGTGGGGGTGCACACACACGTGTCTGTGTATAATTAATCCTCTGGTTAAAATGAAAGAATAGAGTTCCTATGAAACTTTGTCTCTCATTCCTTCCAACCAAATAATCTATATTGTGACGGTGAGTATTCTGCAGTTTGAAATTTAGACAGGCTGTCAGTTGATCTGCCAGTGAGCTAATGCTACCCCACCAGCCAGCCTCCCTAGGAAAAGGGATATGCTGGGGACTGAAGATTTATCAGGAGTGTAACGACAGGGCCTCTGAGCAGAACACCTTACTGACAGCCAGGAATTTTATAAAATGTTTGGATTAAAAGCAGGATTTGAAATAAACTTTATGTTTGGAGGTGCTTTCAGCCTCACTGCAAACACGCACAGTATGTTGCGCTAAACCTGGCAGTGGGTAGGCAGCCTGCTTCCCGAAAGCTGAGCTTATAAAATGCAGAGCCCACATACACCTACCATCTTATATTAAAATAAAAAAGATTAAATGATTACTATAAACTGGAAATCTTTTCTAAAAAAAGCTCACATGCTGCAGCAAGGAAGGAACTTCAGAAGCCATCTGGTAAATTTTTACACCTTTTCTTGATGTATAGAGATAATTTCAGTTTGCTGTCACACAGAGGTGTGTGTTCACCCAGTCCAATAAGTATATGTTGTAGGGGGGGGGGGGGGGGGAATAGTAAGATTTTTTTGGTGCACTTCTAGAGAGACACAATAAATGTGATATTAACAACTGGAGGGTTTTCCTGCCAGTTCAGAGGTGTTTCCAAAATGCAACTAAATACAGCCCCTTGGCTGCATTTTTATTATTGCCTTATTTGCATTTTTGTGTATGTATATAGAGCGTTACACACGCAACATGAATACAGACAATAACACACTCCTCTTACCTGATCAATTCATTTGATGTGGCAAAGAGGAGACCTTGACCCTTTCCCAACAGCTCAGTTTGCAAGGCTGCATATTGCAAAAGGCTGTGGTTAGGCTGGATCACAAAGCTGAAGATCATTCTTCCACTAAAACTGATGGCCCTTTTAGAGAACGGACTTCATTGCTTTTACATGAGACAAATGTTTCAACAAAGACAACGTTAGAGAAGTTGAAGTGTAGGCTCTCCATTTATGTAGCATAATCCCGCTATTTTTACACCAAAACCATAGTGGGGTTCATCAGTGTTAGCATACATGCAAGTGACAAATATTCCTGAACGATGTGCTTTCACAGAATCATAGAAGGGTTTGGGCTGAGGACACCTTATAGTCTAGTTCCAACCCCCCGGCCACTAGACCAGGCTGCTCCAAGGCCCATCCAGCCTGGCCTTAAATACCTCCAGGGATGGGGCAGCCACAGCTTCTCTGGGCTTTGAGTACGTAAGCATGTGCACATGCGTGTGTGTGTCTGCACGCACATACTATTACAGTCTCTGTGTGTGTACACACATACTTTTGCAAAAGTAGACCATCTCACATCTGAAGTTTATCTATGGTCCTAAAACCAATACAGTTCTCGCCCTGACACACTCATGTAAAGGTGACTTTCAGCACGCCTCTTCCCTGTTTTGGGAAGAATGTCATAAAATGGCATTAAATAATACTTATAACAATAAGTAATAACTGTAAGTATGAAATACTAAATAATAGTAAAGAATAAATATGTAAACCAGGCGTTTGTTAAAGGTATTCAGAGTGGAGATTAAGTAGAAGTGTGGTGTCATCTTTGAAGACAAAAAGCTACTCATTTAGATCACGGAGATGATTTATTCCCTATAGTTGTCCCTAATGGTTCTTCGGTGCACTATGACAACAGCAAAGGTACCTTAAGTTGAAGGTGGAAGACAGCCTTATTTCAAGCAAATAAATCCAAAAGAAGTGTAATGGTACAAAAAGCACTGTGCTCAAAATGAAATATGGCATCATTCAGCTGTTAGTCGACCCTGTTGAAAAAAAGTTTTCCATATGACCAGAAATAAAATCGTAAACCTTTTGCCTAAAATGGTGTAATTTTTTCCTGTTTGACTGCCCTGGATGTGTGGCGACACCTTCTGAAGTGCCCAGGGTGGCAAACAATGCCTGACATTAGCCACAGCTGTCGCAAACATACGGAGCAATTCTCTGCTCTTGGATTTTAAGACCACAGGACATGGAAGGACACCCCCCATATGCGCGCGCACACACACAGAGCCACAGACACGCTGTTGAAGATGGTAGTAGGTGATGGGGTTAGTTTGTTACGTATTTTGCCTGTGAGGTTGGCATTCCTTAAACAGTTTGAGAGGCCACACAGTCACTGCAGTTTGTTGGATGCTATCCAGTGATTAATTACCCTTAAAAGTCTTGGCTGCTGTGACCGGGGTCAGCAGCTCTGACAAAAATTCACAGTATCCCGACGTTGCGCAGGAGCGTGTGTGGGGAGCCTGGAATGTGACAGGAGCAGCTGAGACCTTACCTAGTGCTGATGCAAAGGAAGTAATGGGCCACATTTTCATAGCTCTTCTTTGAGGTGGTTTCAGTACCCATCAGTAGTAATTGCAATGAGACCCTGCAGACACACATCATGAATTCATGGTTAAAAAAAAGAAAACAACAGACGTTGTCTACGTAAACTTTATATTCCAGCAGCACGAATGTCTGTATATCACTTTAAGTCTGAGCAGTAGAACATAAATGGAATGATCAAACACACCAAGGGAAAACAAATAAATTAGGGTTTGGTAGGTTAGTCTTACTTCTTAACCATTGTTTATTCGTCAGCATACTGTGATTAAAAGCAGACTGGCTTCCTAGGCTAATGTTTCTGTTTCTTATTACAGTTGGATAGCGTCACTTCACTAATTCAGGCTGCCAAAAATTTAATGAATGCTGTGGTACAGACAGTGAAGATGTCCTATATTGCATCCACAAAGATTATCAAGATTCAGAGTCCTACTGGCCCACGACATCCTGTTGTGATGTGGAGAATGAAGGCTCCAGAGAAGAAGCCCCTAATTAAAAGAGAGAAGCCAGAAGAAATCTATGCGGCTGTCAGAAAAGGTTCTGCAAAGAAGAGAATCCATCCTGTTCAAGTCATGAGTGAATTTAGAGGCAGAGACATAGTCTAATATTCTGCCACTTTTTGTGTTCCTGTATTGAATTTCTGATAATTTTTCATTTTTTCCCCACTTACTTAACAATTACATATGTTAATGTTTTGCTTTTCTCTAAATTTGTAAGATAACACTTGCTTAATTTATTTGAAAAACACCGTTGGATTAATTAGCAGCACACAGTTGAAAAGAAAAATCCATTCTCCTCAAGTGACAAACTGTCACGTCTTTATACTGGCATGTTTTCAGCAGAGCACTTTGAGTGATACATTATGGGGCTGTGCGGTAGTTGGAAAGGCGGCTGCAATGTGCCAGCCTGCCCCAAGTCATACTGCGTTCACTAGGCTCCTTCACCAGGGATCAATGTGGCCAATACTAAACTGCGTGTGTTCCGTGGCATACGGCTTTTTAAACACTGCACTATTGGACCAGATCAGCATCGTTACACTGTGATCAAATCAGCTGGACTGCTTGATGCTAGCTGAGAGTCTGGGCCCTCAACGTGTATCTAGATTGTAAGAGCTAAAAATCTCCCCTTGTCCAAGGTCCAGCCTTGGAAATGTAAGTTTGAAAATGTTTGAGGAAACAAAGTGTCAAAACAACATGGATGTTATAACGTAATAAAAAAAGCATTGATTGTAACATAGCAGTAACAATAGCTCTTTAAAAGGCCTTTTGAAACATTAACGTCAATCTTTGTTCTGCTTCCTACTCTATTCTGTGAGCCCTAATAAATCTGCTGTTACATTTGGAAGTTCAAGATATTAACTTACATTTAACTTACATTTCAACTCAAGATATTAACAATAAAAAACTTTTCTAATCACCACACAAAAGAACAAATATGAAATGCATATTATTCTGAGATCATTGTGTGAAATACACATACAGGAATCTTAGGAATGATGATATTTTTGTAAGGTAACTAGTCATTTACATTACCTCTCATGACATTCGAGCCCTAAATGCAGGACTGTGCTGGTAAGCGACTTGCTAAATGGCTGCACTGTATCTCAAAGCATGTAATGAAGTGTTGTTAGTATGTGATCACTGCTAGGCTTCTGTAAGGTAGTTAGCGAAAGAAAGTTTTTCTCAATCTGTTTGAATCTGAAAGCCACTTTTTTAAATCTAACTTCTCTTCCCTGACATGGACTAAGTTTTCCCAGACTCCACTTGTCACTCAAGATGTCTTTGCTTGGCAATTAAGCAGATCCTTTTGTATGTTTCTTGTATTTACTAAGGTGAAAAGGCTCCCTCAAATGCCAGAACTTCACGATGCGTCACTGACTGCCATTATGAGGTGGCTCCAGACTGTGGACTGCTGCTCCGTGTCTTTTATTAATATATTTTACACTGCAGTGCACTGACATAGCACAATGTGGGCAGCAAAAATAACCATAAATTGTGCTTTTCCTCTCGGGGGGGGGCACTTTGTTTCTAAGCTCAGGACAGTGGAGCACTATAATTTCAAGGCTGTTGGTTAAGAAACCCCATGAAACCTATAGTGATCACAAATTAAAAATTTTACAGATCACTATTCTACCTTCCATAACTTTATTATCTGTTAAATTAAACAAAAGGAGAAGTTTGAAAGAAAAAATACTTCTTTCCAACTCAGATTCCCTCCAGCGTGTTTGCATCAAGATCTTGGTAACGTGTATAGGTGTTTCTGGTCCTCTTGGGGCTACAGAGTGGGAAGCAGCTAACAGTCAAGTGGCGTGCGCAGAGGTAATACAGAGCAGGCCATATAACCTACTTCCAGTAGGTCTGCTGGCAGACTAGGCAGATCTGAGAGAAAGATTTTGGGTGATACAGAGATCAGGAGAGTGTACCTCATTGTCACACCTTAAAACCAAAATCTCCCATGTAGTATTTCAGGTTCTAGCCTACCCCCTCACACTACTTACTCCCCCAGCAAGGTTCAGGTTCAGAAACCGGCAGGTGAGTTGCTATAACCTTGTTTTGGGGAGGGCGGGGTGGGGGTGCTACTCTCCTAATGGCTCTGGGTTACACCTTTGATTATAGGTCACCTTAAGATCAAATGTTTGTAACAGATGCCTTGTTATCACATTATTAATAAAAAGCACATACACCACTGAGATGATGTCTTTTAGTGTTGTGCTACTTTTTCTTTTTTTACATGCCTCCTCACTCAACACCAGTGAACACCCAGTTCAGAAGCCTGCCAGGTCTGCTTACAGGTGTGCCAGCCTTCTGGCACGCTACGTGTACTCTATTAGTCTGGTTTAAGTGAGAGTTTTGCTAGCATTAGTATCACTAAAGCACAGTTCATTGCTTTATTTAGTGCTCCTTCCTGCAATGCTAGTCACTACTCTTACCCTGGCCATACTTAATAGCCAGTTTGATCTCAACTTCCAGTACTGTTCCTATTACATAAGAATTTATTAGGCAAAAAACAGCCTTCTAAATGAACAAGAAAATCAAAACCCACTGCTGACTTTTGAGAAGAGCCAAAGGAATGATGAGTTAATTATATCTAGACTTCTTTTTCTTGGCTTAAGTTCAAACCCAAGTGAAAACATAACAAGGTGAAGTTTATTCCTGGGCTAAGGAGGCAGAGCCCAGTGTATTAGCTCCTTACCCCCCTTGGCAGGTCTGTGAAGCAGGGAACCACCACATTTTTCCCACTATTAATAGTGCTGAAGGGGGATGTGCTGCTCAGTTTTATTCCAAAGCAGCTACTCAGTTCATCCTGCAATGTACTCATTCCTTCCTAGCCCCAGTTTTCAGAGCATAATTCTTCACTCTGTTGTTGCTTGCCTCTGCGTTTGTATGATGTCCATAGCGTATTCCCATGTCCGTTGAAAACTATGCTCTTAGCTGCAGCTTTGCAAGGCTTTGTCACCTCAGCAGCCCAGATGATTTCATTAGCTCGCCACGTCCTCTCTACCACATCGCAGAGCAAAGTATGATGGACAATTGAAGGCAATTGTATTTAAAAAAATTCAGTGGAGCACTAAAAAATTAGATAGATTGTATTTTTCGTTGTTGAAGCACATTAATACAAGAGGACACATTCAAGCCATTTCCATGAATCCTAAAGCTGTTCATTTTTAATTTTTTAAATAAACTTGGCTTTGTCACTCTGCTTTCACTGCTGGTGTTGTTTCCTTTAGTATTTAGTAATTCTAATTTGTGCACAGCAGTTTCTGTCACTGCAGATTGTGCTGAGCATAGTTTACAGTTTGTCTCAATTATTTCATTATTACCTTGACTTAGTGAGCCATTCCTGAGCAGAAACACAAGTCCTCTCATCTCTTGGACCCTCAGAAAAATGTAAACCCACATGTCCCTCTGCTGCTGCCCACACCTGGAGCCCTGCTCTTGCACAAGGTAAAAGCTGTTCTGACATAACTAATTGGCGTTTTTTTGAAGGGGAGTGGGAGAGGGGAAGGTGGGGAACAGATGTGGTGACCTTCTCTGCACTTACACCAATGTCCTTTTTCCCCCAACTTAACCTGATACCACTTGGGCAGCTCTATAGCTGCATCTCTACTGCAGATGCCTAAGCAGCTGGACATCACGCAGGTCTGATGTTCCAGCTGGTTTTAAAAGGTCTTCAGCTCTTTTGAAAAGGCATTTGGTAGTTTTTATTTTCTGTGGATCTCCACAATTGAAGCATTTAAGAAAAATATACAGCAAGCTCTTTAGTGAGCTTTTAGAAGTTTTATTTTTGAAGAAATTATTTGGAAGTCTTTACCAGTAGTTGACAGTAAAATTCCATGTGGTCATACCTGCTGGTTTTGCTTCCAGGTACTACTTATCCCTTGTGTACTTCTCTTGGTTAAATTTTGGAGACTTGCCAATTTGTATATTCTATATTTGGCTCAGGAAAATAAGGAGATAAATAAAACCCATTGCCTCAGGTTGGATTTAAAAAAAACAAAAGCCATGCATTTGAAGAGGCAGAAAGGGACTGATATACGTGTGTGTGCAGGAGAGGAAAGAAGTCTTGGGCCCTGGAATGAGGAGAGAAGTGAAGGTGGTAAGCAGAGGTGGTACTTTTGGAAGAGGACATGGAAGTTGTTGAAACTCCAGAGACACAAGGGCTTGATAAAATGGTGCTGGACATCTTCATGTTGTAATGAGACCAGCATTTTGGATTCAGCAACTGAATGGTGCCTGTTCTCTGCCTCACAGCCTTCCAACCCCCTGAATCCCAACAGCCTTGAAAAGCCCCATTTACCTTCTTCATCTTGCCAGTCCTGGCCAGCAGCTCTTGGTGGTCACTTGAGGCACAAGTGACTCTCCCCAGCCCTCTCCTGGGCTCCCACGTCCATTCTTACTCTACAGAGGCTCCTCTGCATCCCACTGAATTTTGCCTGTAACACTGGTTATGCACAACGGTTCAGAACCCGCTTTCTCTGTAATAACCCACTGAAACCACCGGGGTGCTGGGAAGACAAAGTTCCCATAATAAGAGCAGTCATCTGAAATTGTGCAATAGGCTGCAATTTAAAAGCACATTACTAGAGCAATTAAATAATGATTAAAAATCAAGCAGATAACACTATACACTTCATTTTTGTTTTCCCTGGGAGATCATTAGAACTGGCTTACTCTTTCTCCTAAGATGGTTAGTGGGCTTGGGTTTTTTTCAGAACTACTTCTTAAAGCGAAGGAAATGCACTAGCACGGTTGAAAAAATCTTACGGATTTTGTGTTGTACACTGAAAGTGGATTGCTGCAATGAAAAATATCACTTTCAATGAATAAACCGCAACTCTGTGGAAACTTTTTTGGGATGAAGAGAAACAAAATGTATCCAAAGCAGAAAAGGCTTAATAGTTATGTAAAAACAAACCAGGAAAATGTGTCAAAGCCCCTGCTGTCTACCATCAACAGGAGAAACTTGCTGCTATGCTCAAAGGAATTGAAAGCTGAGGAGCTAATTTTTGATTCCAGCATACAAGAAGTAGTTACGGTGAAAGCTTGAAGTGCAAGAGATGGATCTAGCAATTTTATTTTTCAGGAGCTTTTTACAGGATAGGAAA